GTAATGCATTACTTTTAAAAGTAACTTTCCCCAACACTGCTTAGAAGTAATGAAATTAATAATGAAAGTATTATAATTTTACTACAGTTGAAATCATTCAAATTATTAAATTTATTTATTATTTTGTTAAATTTTACACAGAGATGCAGACCAAAAACACTGCTGAAAACGTTTATTTTTTTTTTAAGTTCATAGAGTTTAGCACATTCACAAATCCTTTCATTACAAATAAATAAATAAATAATCAGATTAAGAGATTCACTGTGCAGTGTTGTCGGCTTCATTGATTATAATGGGAGTTTTCACTCCGTCAGTAAAGTTGCAGCGCTGAGCTTCATTGATTATAATGGGAGCGCTCTTTGCTTGCTTTTGTATATAATATAAATGTGTGTCATGCTGTTAACTGCACATTTCAAGGTTTCTGAATTGACAAACTTATTTAAATATGGGATTGAATCCAAAACTGCAATGATTGACAGTGATAATCACAGCAATGGACAGAACAAAAACCTGATATTGTATAGATCTGTGCATCTTGGAATGTAAATGCAAACTAATAGATCTGCCATTTGTTCTATGTAATGTGTTACTTCTTATAGTAAGACTGCACTTCTTGTATATTTCAATGATAGCAATTGAATAATAGTTCAATAATAAAAACATTTTTTTTTAATTGTATCGCATTTTATGAGTGCGCAGCACTGAGAAGTGCTGTTTATGTTGTTTATATATTTATGCTTGAACACAAGCAACACATTTGTTACTGCAGAAATTCATGCCGTGTTCATTAATTCAGTTATCCGCTTATTTGTCACCTAATGTATCAATTTCATATTGATAACGAGGTATTAGATTCTGGGATCATAGTGAAGCCAAAATTGTGGTATTGAGCCAACCCTAATCAGCAGAATATGGTAAAACCATGTTTCCAATGCAGTAACAACAGAATATCAATAAAACACAATACATCTCAAGCATTTCTTTTAATGAACATTAGATTAGATTTGAACATATTGTTAATGAATTGATATTGATTCTCAACTTTAAAATCACTATTCAAAGTCTACATTTAATGTATTGTTCAATGTACACTTTAAATCCATTTGTGAACGTGCTTGTGAGCAATATAATGTAAAGCACATTAAATACCTTTTGGTAGATGATGATGTTTCCTCACTTAAGTTTGGTGGAGGATTATGTGACCGGTCACTCTTCACAGACACAGAGCTGGAAAAATGTGAACCTGATCTTTCACTAACACAAACCAGAAAAAAAAAATACTTCAGTCTCATTTGGAGAGATTTAATTTAATACAATTCAGTATAGCTGTAGATTTCCATTTCTCACTACTATAGATAGTTGTATTTATGTTTGGTTGCCTGTTCTGTCTTTCCATGGTGAATGTATGCCCCCTAGTGGCTTTCTGTGTAATTGTATTGTTGAAAAGACTGAGCTCGCTAAAGAGTAAACCAACTTAACAGACATCTCATTCTGTGATTTCCGGTTTTATCCAGTCAAGTTATCACATAAACCTTAGTGGAGAAATTAGCTAACAAAGCAATGTAATGTAAAACGAACAGTCACTGTACAAAGACACAGAGCTGAACACATGTGAGTCTAATCTTTACACTGATGACACAAAGAACAGAAAAAAAGAAAAATACTCAATCTATTGTTTTATTCAGTAAAGTTCTATCACATTTACCACAGTGAAGAAATTAGCTAATGCAATGCTCTAATGTAAAATACCTTTTAGTAGATGTTGCCTCACTGAATTTCGGTGGTTCATTTCTTGAACAGTCACTCTTCACAGACTCAGAGCTGGACACATCTAAGCCTGATCTTACACTAACGACACAAACAACAGAGAGAAAGAAAAACAATTACAGGAGACAGAAAAGATTGCATGTGATTAAATACAGTATAGCCGTGATTTTGTCCTTCTCATAACTATATATGAATGTATTTATGTTTGGTTGCCTGGAGTTTTTCAATGGTGAAGTTTTATATCTAATGTGTATTTAGTGTCTACCTATGTAGCTCCAGACTGAGTTCAGTAAAGGTTAACAGACACCATTTCTGTGATCTTTTGTTTTGGAATCTGGAATATCTAGCGGTGAAATGCCTTTCTGATTACATCTGTTTACATACCACCACTGACTAATTTCAGGCCAGCACTGGAGAAGTTGCACAGCACTATTAATAGCCCGCTAAGTGCACATCCGGAGGGAGTTGTGATTGTAGCAGGAGACTTCAATCATGTAGAACTGAAATCAGTATTTCACAAGTTTTTCAAGTGCATCAATTTCCCAATTTCCCAATTCCAGGGACAATAATATTCTGGATCAGGTCTATACTAACATCCCAGGGGCATATAATGCTGCAGCATCTCCACATCTTGGCATGTCAGAACACATCTCGCTGGAAATGACCCCGGCATACAGACCTCTTATCTGCCGATCAAGACCAACTGACTGGGGAGTGTTTAAAGAGAATGCGGATATAGAGGAATACACCTCATCTGTCTTGGCCTATTTGCATTTCTGCACGAACTCTGTCTTGCCCACTAAATCCATCAGAGTGTTTCCTAACCAGAAACCATGGCTGGACCATACGGTGCGGCCTTTGCTTAAAGCCCGGGATGTTGCCTATAGGTCAGGTGACCTGCTGGCTTACAGAAGAGACCGGAGGGATCTGAAGGAAGGTATACAGGCCAGAAACATTGCTGGAGATTCCACCCACCCGGGTCATAGACTTTTTGACCCCCTGCCCTCAGGGCAGAGGTACAAGACCATGAAAACACACACAAATAGATCAGACTTAGAAACAGATCATTTCCAAGAGCTATGACTTCCATTACACCCCTTGCATTTACACCCTCCAGCGAATGACATAATTTGCACTTTTTGTTGCAACTGTTGCTTTTTGTTATGTATTGTTGGTAGCTATTCATTGTTGTTGTTGTTTTGTTTTTTTGTTTGTGACTGAGACTCACCAGACATAATTTCGTTGTACTATGTACACTAACAATAAAGTAAATTGAATTGAATTTATTCAGTAAAGTTCTATCACATTTACCACAGTGAAGAAATTAGCTAATGCAATGCTCTAATGTAAAATACCTTTTGGTAGATGGTGTTTCCTCACTGAATTTCGGTGGTTCATTTCTTGAACAGTCACTCTTCACAAACACAGAGCTGGACACATCTGAGCCTGTTCTTACACTAATGACACAAAGAACAGAGAGAGAAAAAAAACTTTACTACAGAAGGTTCCTCTGTCTCAGTTGAAGAGTTTAGTTTAATTCAAATTATGTCTTGGTCTGAGATTTCATCCCAAAAACGGATCAGGTCAGCTACAATGGAATCTAAACTGGTAAACAGTCAAGTGAAGCACTGGTTCCTCACCCTGCACAATATCCATTTCACCATAAAATATACAGTATCTCACAGAAGTGAGTACACCCCTCACATTTT